ATGGTGAGTGAGTTTATGCTAAATGTATAGACTGTGTTGTTTTGAATTCTGTGTAGCATGTGGTGTTTTGTCTAGCAATGTATGTTGTAGACGTATGTTGATCAAATAGAATCTTTTAGTAGTCAAACCCAGGTTGAGGCTCCTTTTTTCTTTTCTTTTCTTTTTTTTGTCACTGTGTGCTTCTATGCTCAAAGCAGACTTTTTTTTGTTTGTTTGTTTTGTTTCTGAGCCTTATAGCTACTTTTTGTAGTTACTGTTTTTTTGTGTGTTTTTTTTTGTTGTTGTTGTTTTTTGTTTTTTTGTTTTTTCCTTAAAGTGGTTTGGTTTAGCTTGCTAGTTGCTCTTCAGCTTGGTGACTTGTAGATGGTCTTACTGCAAGGTTAACGTGTGCATGTTAAAGAGCAGACTTAGTATAGGATTATCATGTTTTACTTAACTTGGTGCTTATGGTGATGGGAGCTGGCTTCCTTTTTACAAAAAAAAAAAAAATTTCCCATAAAATGACTAATTCATTAAAGTATTTGGTATGTGGCTGAAAGTTTTTCTCTGGAATGATTTGATTTTGTATTTAACCTGACATGAATAACAGCATGCATAAATGGTGCAAGTTGCTTGTTGAAGTTCAGTTCTATTACTCTAAGAAATCAGTAAGCTAGAAAAGCTAGCTCTCAAAGCAGATGCATTGAACTTTAGCAATCAAACCAGGTTTACTTTGTTTTACTTCTGAGAAATCAGTTTCATAAAAACATGTAACAAGTAAAATCACTGAGGGGTATTTGCTAGGGCTAGAACAATTCGTACTACATTTTTGGCTGTTTTAATTGCAGAACATCAATCAAAAGCCAGTGATACTAAGGAAACGAAGGCAAAGAATAAAAATTGAAGTAAACTGGGATCTCTTCTACTACAGGTAAATAGATGTACTGTACTCGATAGTCGTGTGCATCCATTTTTTTCCAATTAAGGAAGTTAATTTGACAGAAAATACAGCTCTACCTCAGCTCCAATTCTGAAGTTGTGTTTTAACTGTTACTTTAGAAAGTTTTCTGCTTTGCTTAAAAAAAAAAAAAAAAAAAATGCTCTAAAGCAGAGAACTTTGAAACACATCATAGAAACTCTAGACTGCTTCTGACATTCACATAGTGAATCCTAATAAGACGTGGTATTAATCTACACTGTTACATTTACTAAACTTTTTCTTATTGTGTTAGTTAGTTAGTTAGTTAGTTAGTTAGTTAGTTAGTTAGTTAGTTAGTTAGTTAGTTAGTTAGTTAGTTAGTTAGTTAGTTAGTTAGTTAGTTAGTTAGTTAGTTAGTTAGTTAGTTAGTTAGTTAGTTAGTTAGTTAGTTAGTTAGTTAGTTAGTTAGTTAGTTAGTTAGTTAGTTAGTTAGTTAGTTAGTTAGTTAGTTAGTTAGTTAGTTAGTTAGTTAGTTAGTTAGTTAGTTAGTTAGTTAGTTAGTTAGTTAGTTAGTTAGTTAGTTAGTTAGTTAGTTAGTTAGTTAGTTAGTTAGTTAGTTAGTTAGTTAGTTAGTTAGTTAGTTAGTTAGTTAGTTAGTTAGTTAGTTAGTTAGTTAGTTAGTTAGTTAGTTAGTTAGTTAGTTAGTTAGTTAGTTAGTTAGTTAGTTAGTTAGTTAGTTAGTTAGTTAGTTAGTTAGTTAGTTAGTTAGTTAGTTAGTTAGTTAGTTAGTTAGTTAGTTAGTTAGTTAGTTAGTTAGTTAGTTAGTTAGTTAGTTAGTTAGTTAGTTAGTTAGTTAGTTAGTTAGTTAGTTAGTTAGTTAGTTAGTTACAAAGTGGGTCAGTGCATGTAGTAGCAGCATGCACTTCCCAAAACCATAGCCTGGCTAGAGCCATGCTCTCAGCTGTAGGAGCACCATGGATGCAGCTCCCCAAGACCACTCTTCTTCCCCCCCCCCCCCCCCCCCCCC